TCATGCAAATGGTCTGCAGGGAAAAAAGGTAAATATTGTAAGACGAGATTTTTGCAGGTAAAATAATCTCAGTGAATTAAAAAAATATTTATCTTGTGGATTATTCTGTATGATATAATAAATAGCATTCCGTTTTTTTTTTTTATCTCCACAGCAATATAAAATAATATCAAATTTCGATTTAAAGCTTTCGTGACGGCAGGGATTCATCTTCTTGGTTCTTTCGGTAAAGTCACGTGACTTTACCGAAAGAACCAAGAAGAAAAATAATATCAATTCAGCGCGTCTATTGGCCTTCCAGAGTTGTTGTTGGCCACTTTAAGCACGCAGACGCTGGACTCGTTTTGACCATCTGAGGCTTGTCAGCAGAGTCAGGCGTGCCTGAACAGTGCGCATGGTTTACCAGATGTTATTTGGGAAGAACGCTCGTTCCAAATGAAATGTAATATATGACTGGAAAACCTAAAAGAGTATGCAGATACAGGATGGGAAGGTATTAAATGTATTTCACAGAAGAAATCCGCAACACTGTATTGTCAGTATTTGTACATTAAAAAAAACTGATTTATATCAGCTGACAGCGCTCCTTTGTTTCTAGGCGATGTTCTTAGCAATAACATCTGGTAAACCCATCAGTATTTATTTAGCAAAGCTTGACCGCTGTCTGCTTGCTTAAATAAAATTGACTGGCGGCTGAAAAAAGTTTGGGAGGCCGATAAGACTGAAAAGTTTTTTTTTTACGTCAGAATTCTGGAACGGAGGGAAACTTATTTATTATGCATAGAATGTAGAGGGGGGGGGGGGGGTGGGCAGGGATTTGCAATTTGCAGACATTAAACAATCGGAAGCGCTGACAAATGACATCAGCGTCTGCAATGCTGCCGGTATGAGATCAGCAGGGGACCAGGGATAGATTAATGCCGGGCCGTCGTCATCGGCAAAACAATGCGGGCTCAGAATTTTCAGAGCTTATATAGAGCTGGGGGGGGGTGGTGTCATTAACACGTGAAGTGACTCAGTCTGGTGAACGTCATTCATCTCTCGCCAATTCTCGTTCGCTAACCCGTTAATCCGTTTTCCTGTGGATGCACTGTCCCCGTGAATCCGCTCCACGTCCGCGCCAGCGTTGCATGCGCGTACGTACGTTGAACTTAAATTTCGATTTAAAGCTTTCGTGACTGCAGGGATTCATCTTCTTGGTTCTTTCGGTAAAGTCACGTAGAATGGAAATAATAAAATAATAAAAATAAAACCTTTATAAAATAATTCTCACGACGTTTCGGCCACAACGCAAGCAGCCATCCTCAGGTGGAGAACAGGTCTGTCGAGAAGACAGAGTACGTTGAACTTCTTTCGAGCCGTACGCAAGCAGCGGTCCTCTGGTGGAGAACCGGTCTGTCGAGAAGACAGAGTACGTTGAACTTCTTTCGTGCCGTACGTAGCCCACCGTGCTAATCGGAGGTGCGTGGTGAGCATGGTTGTAACCAGTCGCCTACATTGGGCTACATCCACTTCGTATTTTTTGTGTTAAATGCCACGGGAGGTGACTTACCTGGTTCAACGATTGTCAAGGTCTTATATTTTTGGAAGTGTTTAGCTCGAGACTGAAAGCAATTGAGAGCTTGGGGGGGAGGGGGGGGGGCTGACTCTTTTACATCCCAAACTAAAATAAATCAGAGCTTCAACGCAGCAAGCCTAGACTCGACTAAACTTATTCTAAACTTCAACTTTCTCTCCCTTCCAGACCGATCGCTAAACTTCACGCCAGTACACTCGCTCAGTCAATTAGCGAGTCGAAGTCCGTTTATATTTTGTAACGTGTACGAAGCCAAACGTGCCAATTGAGCCTCACGCCATTTGTTTACGGGTCTCGGACTCTTGCTCGCCAGTTTTTAAACGAACGGAGAATAAATCGCACAAAGAAAGAAGCCGGCATTATTCTTTTACTGTTTTTGACCTCGTATAAATTGTATTTCACGATCTATAAATGGTATACAGGGACTCCTCTACGTAGGAACGAGTTAAGTTCTAGAGGTCTGTTCGCAAGTCGATTTGTTCGTAAAATTAATCTTTACTCCTGTCGATTCCAAACACGTTGTTTGGCATGTACACTAAACACGGGGAATGGCTTTAAAAGTTGTATAATCTCTTATAGATGTAGATGCCACTGGTTCTTCATGTGGCATCTACATGACATACGGACAGGTTTTTTTGTATCTCTGAAAATTCTTCAGTCGAATATTTGTATAAGGAGTCCCTTTATATTACATACCGGTATAATTTGTTTCGAATTTAAAAACAAAAATGTAATGTGTCGTGTGCTTCCCGTGTACATGTCACTTGACATGGTGAACATATCTCGCGGATGATACGTTCCATGTCAAGGGATTATCCAAGGTCAAATATTTGATTGAATAAATGAAAAAAAACGCACGGTGTACGCAGTTTTAAAGAGGGAAAGAAAAAATCCCCAACAGCCCATTGGGAATGTTATGGCACCAATTGTCACTTAAACCACATCATTTGGCCATCGGTAACAATTACTATGCATAGAAAATCACTACGGTTGATCATCAATGTTTTGTTACTCATACACAAGCCAAGTCGTGAGTGTGTGTTTTTTGTGCAGGATGATGTTACTTGAAGCATTGTTCTCTATCAAAGGGTCTGTGTTTGTTTTATTGCTACTCTATACCCCCCCCAACCTCCCCTCTTCCACCCATCTCCCCGTATCTCAATGACCCCCTCTCCTACCACCCCCCCGTCTCTATAATAATAACGCGACAACTTCTATAGGCCATAACCTGGCAAGCCCATTAACAAGGGCTGCTGAACAAACAACGCAAACATGAAACACAACTATTCCCTGTGTGTCTATCCGGCACCGAGTAGACCGATTGTGTGATGTTGATGAAAGTGCCAGGCGCATACTGAATAAAAGATGGAGATGATGATAATTCAGTTTTGCTTCCTCAATTAGCATTTTGTAAACACTGCAATAGGCAGAAGAGAAGATGGCAGTCGCGAGCCTGGACTTGCACAGGGGAACATTGTTCCGTATATAATTGCTGCAAGGCAGTGATGGGTTACAGTTCTGACTGTTATGAGTGCAGTATTATTATCACCTTTGCCAAGGGCGGCGGATTAACCCTTTCCCATCCAGAGACGTCTGCAAGTTGGAGAGTGGGTGTCCCGTTCACCGCTGGATCTCGGAACGCCCGAGCGGTTTTCGTTAATTTTATTAAGAGAGGCGTAGAGCCGCTGTTTTTAAAGACATTGTGCTCACCGCTATGAACTGTAGAGACACGACCACACTCTACAATAGCAGGCGCCAAACTGTGCCACACACCCTCCCGCGTGGCATTTTACTTCATTCCGCTGACGTTCCAATGACGTACGTACGAGTACATCATCGGAATGGAATTGGAAGAAAAACTGATGATATACACGTGTAATGAGCAACTTCCAAGACACGCCGAGTAGAAGGCTTCTTATTTATTAAGAGCACACTGGGCGAGACATTGTGTAATGCAGCTACACATAGGTGATCCTAACACGTAGCCCCATCTCCGGCTTCGCTACGCGAGCTGTTCGACCAGCGCGGCGATGGAGAGAACCTTCCAGAAGATCAGCCACGTGGTCGGAGACGAATAAATAACGAGCAGCGACGCAGCCAGGACCCACGACCCGTAACAGCCACGAACCTCTGGTTCGGTCCCCCTTTATGTCTGCTCCGGCGCAGCCAAGCTCCACCTCTGGCCACGCGTACTTTCCAGAACCTTCGAGCTGGTTCCCGGAGCTTCGAGACTGACTCCGCCTTTCACCTTTACCCCAGATACGCCCCCTTTATAATAAGGCATTGTGTAATGCAGCCATGACCGTAATTACCCCTCCTGGCCGACAGGTGCCACCCTGTCATTACACACGTACGTCATCGAAATGGGAATGGGATGAGTTGCCAAGACTTTGGGTTTCGGTGAAGTTCTGCTGAATGTGCTCACCTGTGGGCCTTAGCCAGTGACTTCCTTTCTTTTTTTCTTAACCGCAGTTTGTAGAGTTACACACCCAAAAGGCTCCACAAAAAATGCACAATCAGCCGCTAACAAATGGCACCGTTAATGTCGTGAAGGGGTAGAGAGTGTCTGCGTTCATTGAATTGAGAAAAGTTGTAAGGCTTCTGCATTGATGACAATGGGAGTGATTCCCAAAATGGAGGAGTACAAAAGGGGCGAAAAGCAGCAAAAGAATTGTGGTGACCTGCGGTGTTGGTTATGGCGGTTGAAATCAGTACGGATGAGACTAAACAATTAACGTGGTGGATATTTCGAATGGGTGAAGTTCACAGGAACATTAACCTTGCTAGTAGCAAAACAAGAGTGCGAGCGACTGCAGAAAATCAGCGAGTGCTGGATTATCAATAGACCTGACTGCTTACTAAACTAAACTATTTTTATTTAACCAGGTAAGGCCCACTGAGTTATATAGCTCTTTTTCAGAAGCGACCTGGTCACAAATGTGGAGGGAAAAACCGGAGGACCAGGAGAAAAATCCACGGGGAGAACATGCAAACTCCAAATATACTGGCGTCAGGGGTCAGAATCGAACCCACGACTTCCTGTATACCAGGCGAGGTAGTTAACATCTCGTTCGTTCAAGTCTGTTAAGCAGAAGTTGGAAGTTTATTTCGGAAAGTCAGTAGTGAGATCGAACCTGGGGTGTTCCACTCCTGATGTGACTGGCTATGGGAAGTGTAGCGGTAAGTGCGCTGCATTACAAACCCGGCGACAACTCGGCCACAAATGAGCACCTGATGCAGCGTGTAAACATCGCCACTGGGGAGACAAAGGCGGCCGGGCGTGACGCTGTCCACCCACCCCTTCCACGCACCGTGCCGGCCTACGTCCAGCAGCGCTACTCGCTTAACAGCGCTTGCTCCGAAGGGTCTGTCGAAGGCTGTGCGGGTGATCTTGTGTCTTTGTGTGTGCGCGTCCACCGCACAGGCTCTTTTCGCACCTGTCGGACCCCTTCCTGGACGACCCGCTCCCACGAGAGTACGTGCTTTACCTGTGCCCCACGGGGCGCTTGGCGCAGCGCCTCTCCGACTTCTGGGACGCGTCTCGCTCCCAGTGCGGGAAGAACAAGGCGCACAACGTCTTCCCGCACGTCACGCTCTGCCAGTTCTTCACGGTGAGCGCGGGCCCCGAATAACCCACCGCCACCGTCTAAATTATAAAAAAAAACATTTTTATTTTACCAGGTAAGGCCCCAGAGTTAACTAGCTCGTTTTCAGGAGCGACCTGGCTATCGCAAATTATATCTCAACAAAGTGGCTCATCGTGTGGAAATTTATTCCAGCCCAATACGCATGTTGATTCTAAAATGGAGGTAAAAACCGGTGGACCCGGGCAAAAATTCTCACAAACACGGGGAGAGAGAACATGAAAACTCCAAATATACAGCATCAGGGTCGGGATCGAGCCCACGGTCACCTGTATACCAGGCGAGGTAGTCAACATCTCGCCCAATCGGTCGTTGCGATGGGAGTGATTCATTCGCCTTGGCTGCCTGCGTCTCATCTTCGCAAAATAAAAAAAACCCAAATAAACCTGGAGCCTCGTCGGGTCATAGGGCAACAGAAGCAATTGTGGGTTTGGCTAAAGCGCATCCATCTGAGCGCGAAGAATGTGAGGCGGGGGATTATCAGGTGAATCGCTCCCCGACTGTGACTCGAGTGCTTTCCTGTTCATGAAACCACCTTGTCGTGTTTTTTTTTTTACAAAGGTCACGCGTCATTTCATAGTTCATCACCGTTACCCGACGCCTGTGGTTTCTGCCACACAGAAAGCATCCATACTCAGCTCTGTGTTACAATCCTCATGGTTCGAGGAGGAGGTGGTGGTGCTCAGAGACGGTGGTGATACTGAGAAGGCAGTGGTGGTGAGAGATATTGGTGGTGCTGAGAGGCGGTGGTGCTGTGCATTGTAGAATGACTAACGGACAGAGAATTTAAAATTAAATGGTGATAGATGCCTGCATGCCGGTGCACACTGAGGAGAGCGTGGTTTAATTTCAGCCGGGTCTGTCTGGGCCAGTGACCCAGAAAATATTTCCGCACCCGGCACACCACATCCACAAATATCTTCTCGCTATGGCTGTGGCTGCTTGTCACGTGCCCGGGGCCCGTGTCTTACTGGCGACGCCGAAAATATTCGGTGAGAAATCAAGTGGAGGGTGTGAGGACACCCTTCTGCACTGTGCGTCTCTGGGAGGTACGTGCGGACAGCACTTGCCCCAACAGTCTGTTACAGGCTATACGGGGGGAGGGGGTGGAATCTTTGTCCGTGTCTTTGCAGTAAATATGTATGGGATCGGTCTGTACAGTGAGTGTGTTTCTATTTGGCGCCACCCAGAGGAGTGGTGAGAAAATGAAAATGGGGAAATGTGGCCCAGGATTTACACGCAGAGTATTTTTGTTGTCTATAATAAAAAGGGAGGGGGGGGGGCAAATGGAATTTAGCTCTGGGCCGCTTCTCTTGCATAGTTTGGGCCTTCTCCAGGAACTCACATTTACCTCACACACACCAAAAAAAAGACTGAATTGAAAAAAAAATACGGACTGTTTTGGCAGTGGGCACATAAGCACACATGGAGAGAGAAAAAAAATTACCCCATTCATCACCGTCACGCAGCAAGAGACTAAAGAAAGGCCATTTCCCAAAATGTCAGCCTATTATGGGTTTCTGTAATAAGGCAGCACTAATGATGAACGTGGTGAGATTCTTGTTGTTAATATGTTGAAAGAAACTGCACTAAATATCCACTGTAGGACCTCGCCGTTCAAGTGAGTAACGGATACTCCGTGAGGCCTTTCTGGGAAAACAACATTGTTGTGGTCACTTATCCAGAAGAGTAAAAACATTTCTCTTGATAGGGAGTTAATCGACAAATGATCCTCATGGCGGTACCCCGGGGTTCCAAATAATACAAAACGGCTGAGGCAATTCAATATTTTTTTTCTGGGACACTATTTTTCCCCAGGGGTTGGGTGTACTTAACTCCGCGACTGGGGTACCACTCAATCCGAAATCAGTGCCACTCCGCAATGTCGAAAAGCAGCGAGGACGATTGCGCTGAAACCCCGAACGTTCGCAGTACGTACCGTAGTGGTGGTGCATCGTGTACAGTTCGTTGAGATGAGTCGATTGCCGCATCACCGACCATCAACAGACTAAAAATGACTGCATCACGGACATCATGCGAGAGCCGGGATACTGTGGTACTCCAGGGTACCGCCATAAGGTTCAAATTTCCAACAAATGGAAACGGATCTTCGTTTATGTAGATCAAGGCCAAGGACGGTAAACGGACACACTGACCTAACCGAACGTCGCTGTTTTGGAGCCAGCGTATAAATAAGTCAACGGAAACGTCTCGCTACTCGTCGCTATAAAAATTTAAACTTGTTACCTGTGGCTCTTCTGATAATTCTATCCTGCTCCTTGTTTTTTCTCGCCATGCTCTCAGATGCCCCCTTTGCCTCTGCCCCAGAGGTCGCAAACGGGTTTTGATTCCTTACCCATACCCGTACCTGGTCGCACCAGGGTCGAAAACGGGTACCCGTACCCTACCCTACCCGATACCTGGCTACCCGTACCCGGCCGGGTATCGGGTAGGGTACGGGTACCCGATTGCGACCTCTGGGATGAAGCCATGTTGCAGGCGCGGGTGGTTTGATTCTAGGAACTTGAATTGTGAGAAGAGACAAGACGTTTGGAAATGAGTGACAAACAGTGACTCACCAGTGACTCACGGCCTTCCCGTACCCGTACCCGGCCGCACCAGGGTCGCTACCCGTACCCGGCCGGGTACGGGTAGCCGGGTATCGAGTAGGGTATGGGTATCGGGTACCCGGTTGCGACCTCTGCTCTGCCGCCCACCGCTCCTCGAGTGGTTGTCCTGGAAACCGGGAGATCGTTGAGCGATGTTCAACCGCCGGGTTGATGACGCAGTTCAATCAGTTGTGATTTCCCACTTAACAGATTGGGCCGCGTGAAGGCTGCCAATCCTCCGCGACGATTATCTCCGCCACTCGTGATGAAATTTTCTGGCTCAACCAACTCCAAGTAAAATTCATAATTGTTGCTCTGCATTTGTTTCCGTTTGTTAAAGAGCATAAACCATCATCACGTAAAACTCCGGTCATCCTCGCAGCAGCGGATTTTGGCTAATCATCGAACAAAGACGGTTAGATGCGGTTCTGTGGCTGTCTGGAATGTTCCCCCTTCTGATATTAGGAAGCCACTACGCACTCTTAAATCTAGATTGAAAACTCATTTCTTTAGAACTGATTTTTGTGCTTAGACGGTTGTCTTTCCCCAGCACTTCCAATTAGTACGGTTGGCTACGTACGGTGCGAAAGAAGTTCAGCGCGCACGTCAACATCGGCCAAACGAAGAAGAAAACGGATTCTGACCGAATCAACCCACTCTTAAATTTCGATTTAAAGCTTTCGTGACTGCAGGGATTCATCTTCTTGGTTCTTTCGGTCAAGTCACGTAGAATGGAAATAATAAAATAATAAAAATAAAACCTAATAAAATAATTTTCACGACGTTTCGGCCACAACACAAGCAGCCGTCCTCAGGTGAAGAACAGGTCTGTCGAGAAGACAGAGTCTGAACCCACTCTTGCCGTGACCACTTCCTCACTCCCCTTCCCACCCTCTTTGCACCGCACTCAGCCACTCCTGACACTTGACCTCTTGTCCCCCCGTCCCCGTGTGTATTTTTCTCCGTGCTCTCTCCCCTACTCCCCCCGTCTTGGCACGTCACGGCGGCGGTCGACAGTGCGAGGACGAGAACGCCGAGGGCCTGTGCCGGGGCCTCAAGGGCGTGGTGGAGACGTGGCGGCCCCGCTTTCCGACGCCGCTGCGGCTGGAGCATTTCTCGACTCCCAATTTCCTGGGTCTCTTCGTGCAGGATGGCGACGCCGAAATCCTGCGGGAGTTCGCCGCCGAATTCGCTGCGGAAGTCGCTAAAACCGCCGGTATCCGCAAAGCGTCACGGATCACGCTGCTGCTGTTGTTGTTGTTGTCATTGTTGTCGTCATCTCATTAATCTCATAGCTCATTGCGTCGCACGTTCGTACGTCGCTAGGGGGTGGAACGATGCATCGACTTGATTATTATAAATATCGATTCTTTGCTACCAAAGTCGCCACAAAACTACTGGTATCTGCCACACTGCACAGATTTTTGACTTTGTCGTTGTTCTTGTTGCTGCTGCTCGTTGCACGAGGAGCATCGAGTTGACCAAAAGACAGGCGGTCACCCGCGTCGTTTGCGTCCTGTGGGTGGGTAGTGTAGCGGTTAGCGCACTGCGCTATGAACCCATCGACGCGAGTTCGATTCCCGTTCACGGCCGACACCCAGGTTGACTCAGCCTCATGAGTACCTGGTGCGGTGTGTAAAAACCATCGCCACTGGAGAAACAAAAGCGGCCGGGCGTGGTGTTGGCCACCGACCCCTTCGTGTACCGTGCCGGCCTTCAAAGGTGCTGCTCGCAAACAGCACTTGCCCCAACAGTCTGTTAAGGCCACACGGGGGGGGGGATCTTTGTCTTTCGTGGATGGGTTGGCGAGCCGCAGATGTGAAGGTGGAGCCACACAAGAGGCAGCTGCACCTGACGCTGGCGTACCAGTTCCAGGCGCAGCACCTGGCCAAGCTGGAGCGGCTGGTGCGCGCCGTGGACCCCGAGCTGCCGTGCGAGTGGTGCGCCGTGCTCTACTCGCGCGACATCCGCTACGCGGGCCATGAGGTGAGGCCGCTTCGACGGCGATGGCGTCACGACGACCAGCATCGCACCGGCAGCGGCGTCGCACCTGCAAAGTGACAACAACAGTCTCGCCGCAACAGCGTCGCGCCAACGGTCTTGCACCGACGGTCACAACGGTAGCATCACAGGCAATGGTGTCGCACCGGTCGCGTCACACCTGCAAAGTCACAACAACAGTCTCGCCACAACGGCGTCGCGCCAACGGTCTTGCACCGACGGTCACAACGGTAGCATCACAGGCAATGGTGTCGCACCAGTCGCGTCACACCGGCAAAGTGACAACAACAGTCTCGCCGCAACGGCGTCGCGCCAACGGTCTTGCACTGACGGTCACAACGGTAGCATCACAGGCAATGGTGTCGCACCAGTCGCGTCACACCTGCAAAGTGACAACAACAGTCTCGCCGCAACGGCGTCGCGCCAACGGTCTTGCACCGACGGTCACAACGGTAGCATCACAGGCAATGGTGTCGCACCAGTCGCGTCACACCGGCAAAGTCACAACAACAGTCTCGCCACAATGGCATTACGGCACCGACGGTCGCACCAGCAGTCGCAGCAGTAGCGTCACAGCAACGGCGTCACACCTTACCGCATCTTAACAATAGCATCACATGATAATTGTTTTTTTACCCTTCTATCTGGCAACAAAACTGACACATTTTTTTACAAGGAGTCGTGTTTGCATAGACCAAAATACCTGCAGTCGGAATGCAAACAAAAAACATAACTCTGATAATGTATGCACTGTCCTTGAAGTTGATTGGTCCACACCCGAGACAGCTTTCCTTAGAGCCTAGTCTCACATGGGTTGGACCAGATGACGCCAAAAGGCGCACAACTCAAAGACAATGCACCATCAAGTATGAGAGCTCGGGGAAAGCATTTACACCATTGGAACCTCATTTGCCAGTAAAAATATAATTGGGTTTTTACCCTTCTATTTGGCAACATCATCACAATGACAGCATGGCACCAACAGCCTACGATACAATTATGAGACGATATCGCAGCAACCACACTGTTCACACAGGCCTGTGGTGCCTGGGTTTCGACTGATGGTTGCTGTTGAACGATCGGTGGAAACTCTGCGTTTGTATCAGCAGGGGGCGCAAGAGGCTCAGGCCGGTCATGCGCACGCGTGTTTGTGTATAGGGATGTGTTTGGGGAGCGGTGGAGCAGCGATTAGCGCGCTGCGCTACGCTACGAACCCGGCCTCCCGAGTTCGACGATTCCTGTTCATGTCCAACACCGGTGACGATTGTCTGAATCGATCCTGGGCCTCCTCTAGGTCGACTCAGCTGCAGTGTGTAAACATTGGCACTCAGGAGACAAAGGCTGAAGGGCATGGTGCTGGCCACCCACCCCCTCGTGTGCCGTGCCGGCCTTCATAGGTGCTCGCTAACTAGCACTTGCCCCAACAGTCTGTTAAAGGCTGTACTTTTTCTTGTGTAGGGACGTGCTTCCGACTTACAAAAAATCCCGTTTTGTGCGGCAGTTTTTTTTGCATCTTTTTGCCGAGAGCGACAATTTCATTCCCTCACAGAAATTTACACTCGAATCTCTTCACCGCTTTAATCCGTGACCTTCCGCGGAATCGATAACGAATTTCCCACGAGCATCAGAATCTTTATTTGGACTATAAGTAAAGCCCTGCCTGTGCCCACCGCGTGACGTTACACAATCAAACTGAGGCGGCATGCCGGGCAACAAAGAAATGTTTTACTTTCTCAGAGCTGACCGTTGGGAATTTTTTTTTTTTTACAAGGGTACACGTGGCTTGATGCGCTAAACTTATTTCGCACCATACGTAGCCGACCGCGCTAAAGAAATGTGTTTTCGATCTCGATGATTTAAAAGTGCATTGCTCCTGTCGCTTCCTAATATCGGAAGGAAGAGCGTTCCAGACGGCCACAGAAGCGCATCTGAAAGCGCGCGATGCAGTGACCATCTTTGTTCGATGGTGAGCCGAAAGCCGCCGGTGTGAGGATGACCGGAGATTGTGTGATGGTTTATGCTCTTTGACGAGATCAGCGAGATATTGCGGTTTAACTAAAAGGAAAATTGGTTCATTTGTGGCAAGCAGCACTTTGTGTGTAATGAGTGCCTGTGGTGCATGCCGGGCAGCCTGGACGGTGCCAGTCTGGACGATGCCGGCCTCACTGTGCCGGCCTCACGGTGCCGGCCACGCGATTTCGGTCACACGGTGCACTTCTCGCTTTGTTGTATGGAGGGCGCCGGATGCACCAACTGTCTCCGCCAGCGTCCTGCGATAAATAAACATTCTTTTTAGAACATTACCCACCGTGGTGCTCAATGAGTTCAGACCCCACTATACAATTCCCTTTCAAGTTCCTTGTTTGCATCTTTCCCCGCCCTGCAAAGGTGGCCATACAAGTCACTTTCAGCGTACTTCATTGCGCCTACTCTGCCAGCTCTCAACATAAGCCTCCTGTTTAGTCGGCTAAAATCTCATTTCTTTAAGAGCTGCTTTTTGCGTTTAGTTTGTTGTCCTTCAACGTACATACGTACAACATACTTTCTAGGCAGCGCATTTTCACGTGATATCAAGTTTATTGATTGATATTTTTCAGGCCATCCCTCAATTGCCATAATTCTGGTTCACGATTTGGTGATTGTAATCTTTATCCCAAGTATTTGTCTAATTTTGTCCCATTGTAGTAAAAAAACACAACACAGAATGCAACAAGTGTTAACCAGCACATCTCCAATGCGTGAACATTACCTATAAATCATCCAATTTGGATTACACTTCACACAATCGCCTCCTTTGTCCGCAAGCTTTGGCATAACCCTCATGAAAAAAAACCTGTCTGGAGACTTTCCTGAGTAAAAAAGCGTACTGATATAGATGTTACAAATGGTTTGCTCGTTACTATGCCTAATTAACGTGCCACTTGGACAGGAAGCAACTAACCAAATAAAAATCCGGCTGAATATCTATTTTTTAATCAGGTGTCAGGCCCTCCCTCATTACACCTCACACGAGTGACGACTGTTGCCAACGTGTACCATGAATCACGGTGAGTCACGTCAGACCGTGCGCGTTCGCTCCACGCGCAAAATTCAGTCATCTCCGTGCCCCTCTCTTACCCTATCCGCTCGTCGCATTGCGTCGAGGATGCTTTTGTTGTCGGGGTGCGTCGGCTTCTTTTGGCTTTTTGGCTTTGCCCTCGCCCAAGAATCCCCTTTGCGCAAACCCAAACCGGTGGGGGTTTTTGATGCCCCGAGAAACCGCGTAGATACTCCGGGTGGACATTCTTCGTAGAAGTAAACGGGCGACGAAATATGTTTGCGGGCAGGAATGCGACCGGGGGAGAAAGAAACGGGTTTAACCTCGGGCAATTTAACGACGGTGGATCGGAATGAGAGCGGCGTTTATAAAGACGCGAGAGGTCTTTTGGAAAGATGAATTTCTCGCGTAAAAAAAAAATGGATACCAATTTGCTTTCGCTCTCTCTCTCTCTCTTCTCGCCCCGATTCACTGGAACAAACTTCCCCCTCCACATTAAGCAGTCACCTTCGCTCACTAATTTCCACAGCTCACTCAAAACTCACACTTATTGTTCCCTAGCTCATCCCACGACCCCTTAATATCTCTCCCTCATAAGCGCCACCACTACTGTTCCCTCTTCATCATCTCATTATATTGTTATCACTCATTAACCCCATTTATTCCATTCATCTTCGTTTACAGTCATCAATTTAGCTTTCACCGAATTCACGCATCACCTCCACCGTCACATTGATACGTACCGTTGTTAATTTTTTGTATATTGCCTTGGTTATCTTAATTCCTTTTAAGATAAGATAAGAGGTTCGGCTCGGTGCATGCAGCCAACCGTGACAGCGATGAGATGCGCCTTAAATAAAAAGCCAAACACAAGCCTAAAACTTCGCTGGGAAAGTATGCAGAGATTCTCACTTCGGATGTGCACAATGAGAGAGACGGGGAAGGAGGAGCGCTGTAATTCGGGGAACAAATCCAAATGTTAGACGGACAGTCTGTTCTCGTGTAACGCCGCGTGCGTTTTCACAACGCGAATTGCATATATAACGTGATGAATGTGTTAGGAAACACATTTTTATAACGCGGATGTGAATTGGATATAACGCGATCGAGCGAACGGAACTACGTCGCACGAGTAGGAACAAGCGGCTGTACAGCTGCCTCGGCGTAGCGTCGTCACACAAGGCGGGATGCTGCTGGATGCTTCTAGATGCTACCCACGCGCCTCAGACTTTATCAGCCTGCGTACGCATCTCACGCGTTATCGCGGACTGCGCTTTACCCCTATGTCATATATTATTTATGACAATGCGGTGTTCTTCAGCAAGACGACTATTACCGCGTTATAGGAGAACTCGCAGTGCTGACAAATGCGGAGAGTTGAGTGACTTGAACAGGGACACGTCAGAAGCAGAAGCGATGACCCATTGACAGGGACCATTCGTGGAATAGCATCCCCGTGGTGAGAACGGGCGCGCCAAAAGGGCTGACTCACCGCGGAGATGGCAACATTGAAACTGGACCGTGCGTAGGAGTTGATGCCGATTGCTCCATCGCGATGGTGGTGACATGTGGAGGCCTTCATTGAACAGTGGGTGGATCGTGGCTGATTTCGATGATAGTGGGGCTTTATTCTCGCATGTGTGGGTGTTCTTCTGGGAACCTTGGTTTCCTGTAGGGCTTGCCACCTGTTCTGATTCCCCCAGGATCATCTGTGGGTCTTCCCGTGATAACAAAAATACCCCCCCTGTTTTTGGTCATTTGTAATCATACACATTTCATCGTGAGATATTCTCCTTCCGATGATATGTCCCGCTTTTATTTGCACCTACGCAGTGGCAACCTTGCTTTTTCTTGCCACGTCTTAAAACGCTCAAAATCTAATTTTCCAAAATATACCCTCGGTAGACCCGTCTCGTTCTGGAGATAACCGAAACTAAGTGGGCGTTTG